AATCCAATGATACAAATTTCATATGGCTACAATATTGCATGACACCGCAATTGTCATTCCAAGTACGACAGCGCTGAAAGCTGAAAATTGGCCTTGGCAGGAAGAGGGTATAAGCGCCCAGTAGGCGAGTGGTTAAAGGAATTTTTAATTTTTTTTCTTTAAGCAATGAAAAATGACTGCCTCTTTAAAAACAGTACTTTTAATAAAAAATTTTTCACTCATTCATGTCCCTCAGGGCAGTACCCGAGTCCCCATACCCCTTTTATGGCCAATACTTTGCATATAAGCCTTTAAAATGGGCACTTTTGAATTTACAAGTTCAAGTCCCGACTTGCATTATGTTCAAAGTTCGCAGTCAACTGCAAACCAAACAAGGGGGTGTTCAGGCCATCACTATCCCTGTGACTGCAGTAGAGAGATTTCATAAACTTTGCTGCAGGGAAAATGTTTGAATATACAATCTCAACACCCTGACCCCGAGTGTGGGGTGGGCTTAATGAGGAGCTAGAAGTGTGCACTATCCTCTAACATGTTCATTATTTTCATTTATTTTAAACTTTCTCATTCAGCCCCATCATCCTTCCCGGTTTTATTAGGTTCACATGCTTTTACATTTGTATACACGATACATATGCGTTCGTTCAATTTTTTATTAAGTGATATTAAAGGCAATTTTTAAAAAAAATAACAAACATGTCATACTTACCTGCTCTGTGCTTTGCATAGAGCAGCCCTAATCCTCCCCTTTTTGGGTCCCCCGCCGGCGCTCCTGGCCTTTCCCTCCTGCTGAGTACCCCCAGAGTAAGCAGCTTACTATGGGGGCACCCAAGCAGGCTCACTCCAGAGCCACTGCTCTGAGTGTCCATTTACACATAAGGCCATGGCTCGACCCTGCCCCCTCTCTCTCCTCATTGGCTCACTGTCTGTGATTGACAGCAGTGGGAGTCTCAGCCAATGAGGATGGAGAGTCCCCGGAGAGCTGAGGCTCTTGCACACATCACTGAATTGCGATGGGACTCAGGTAAATATTAGGGAGGGCACACAGAAGGTTTTTTACCTTCATGCATAGAATGTATGAAGATAAAAAACCTTGAGCCTTTACAACCTCTTTAAAATTGTTGATTTTCCTATTGTAACCATCCTATAGTATTTTTGTGCTCATATGCAGGCTTGTCAATTGTTCTTTTATTATATATGCTTTTATTTACATACACACGTTTTACATGCATTTAATTGTTTTTAACTTTTTACATTCTTTTTACTTTTTAGTTTCCCTTTGTTTTTTGTTAAATATTATAACATATGCACATCATTGACATTTACAGTCTAAACAGGGCCATTCAAGGCTCCACGCAGGGAGAAGCAGGCTGTGGCCCATGTCAGGTATGAATTAGAGCGTTGGCATTACAACAGCATAACAAAAGGCAGTGAATGGTTTGTGTGGGACTCTATTTCCACAAACAAATAAATAATGTAGATATAAGATATCAGGTGAATGCCAAATGCCCCTTCCCAGCCATAGCTTGGGGTGTACTCAATGCAAGAACAATAATGTTTACGTGTCTTTTTGTTGTAATTTTTTTAGTTATCTGGGAGGTTTTTGGCTATTTTATGTAGTACAGGTGAAACTCGAAAAATTAGAATATCGTGCAAAAGTTCATTTATTTCAGTAATGCAATTTAAAAGGTGAAACTAATATATGAGATAGACTCATTACATGCAAAGCAAGATAGTTCAAGCTGTGATTTGTCATAATTGTGATGATTATGGCTTACAGCTCATGAAAACCCCAAATCCATAATCTCAGAAAATTTGAATATTACATGCAATCAATAAAACAAGGATTGTACATAGAACAATATCGGACCTCTAAAAGTATAAGCATGCATATGTACTCAGTACTTGGTTTGGGCCCCTTTTGCAGCAATGACTGCCTCAATGCGGCGTGGCAGTGAAGCTATCAGCCTGTGGCACTGCTGAGGTGTTATGGAAGACCAGGATGCTTCAATAGTGGCCTTCAGCTCTTCTGCATTGTTCCGTCTCATGTCTCTCATCTTTCTCTTGGCAATGCCCCATAGATTCCCTATGGGGTGCAGGTCAGGCGAGTTTGCTGGCCAATCAAGCACAGTAATCCCACGGTCATTGAATCAGGTTTTGGTGCTTTTGGCAGTGTGGGCAGTTGCCAAGTCCTGCTGGAAAATGAAGTCAGTATCCCCATAAAGCTCATCTGCGGAAGGAAGCATGAAGTGCTCCAAAATCTCCTGGTAGAAGGCTGCGTTGACCCTGGACTTAATGAAGCACAGTGGACCAACACCAGCAGATGACATGGCTCCCCAAATCAACACAGACTGTAGAAACTTCACACTGGACTTCAAGCATCTTGCAGTGTGTGCCTCTCCATTCTTCCTCCATACTCTGGGTCCTTGGTTTCCAAATGAGATGCAAAAGTTGCTCTCATCAGAAAAGAGGACTTTGGACCACTGAGCAACAGACCAGGTCTGTTTTTCTTAGCCCAGGTAAGGCGCTTCTGATGTTGTTTGTTGTTCAGGAGTGGCTTGACAAGAGGAATACGACATTTGAAGCCCATGTCCAGGATCCGTCTGTGTGTGGTGGTGTCAGGGCTCCCAGGTATGACCAGAGATGTGTGACTGATGCAGGGAAATGCAGACTTCAGAAATGTGATAAACAATATAATTTATTAACACTAACCATACAAACATAAACGCAGTGCAATACTAAACATAATACAGTGCAAACAAACCAAACCAACCACCCACAGATAACAGTACATACAAGCAAGCGTCGTCAGGCAGGCCGGGTCAATATCAATTGGGCAGGTAGGTACGGGGGGAGCAAGCAGAGAATGGTCGGGGTCACAGGCCAGGTTCAGCAGGTAGCAAGCAGCGAGGTACAGAGGGTCAGACAGAGGGGTGGTCAGGGTCACAAGCCAGGATCAGAGCAGGAGAAGTCAGCAGCAGTTCAGATCAGGGTCAGCAAAGGAACAGAAACAGGATGCAGGACAGATACAGGGCCCAGGACAAACACAACACCAAGGCAGAGTCTGCAAGTCTGGCCATCCCTTAAATACCCAGTATCATCAGTTCCAGGTGTTAGCTGGCTGAAAGGTTGAGTCTCTGATTGCTGGGAGCACCCGCTGGCCAGCCCTGGTACTGCAGATCAAAAGGCAGGTGAGTCCCACCATTGCTGGCCAGTCCATTCCTAACAGTACCCCCCCCTCAAGGAGCGGCCTCAGGACGCTCCAAACAGTCCTAGCTGGGCAAAATGTTCCACCGCCCGGGTCTGGCAACTGGCGGGATAGCAAAGACTGGCACACCGGGCAGGACTCCGGGCAGCGGCACACCGGGCTGGACTCCGGGCAGCGGCACATCGAGCAGAGAGCAGGCACTCCGGGCAGAGGCACACCGGGCAGAGGCACATCGGGCAGGACTCCGGGCAGAGGCACATCGGGCAGAGGCACATCGGGCAGGACTCCGGGCAGAGGCACACCGGGCAGAGGCACATCGGGCAGGACTCCGGGCAGAGGCACATCGGGCAGAGGCACATCGGGCAGGACTCCGGGCAGAGGCACATCGGGCAGGATTCTGGGCAGAGGCACATCGGGCAGGACTCCGGGCAGAGGCACATCGGGCAGGATTCCGGGCAGAGGCACATCGGGCAGGACTCCGGGCAGAGGCACATCGGATTACCAGGCGAAGCAGCAGGCAGCGGGCCACCAGGCGGAGGCAGGCACCGGGCCCCCGGGCGGGGCGACAGGCACCGGGCCCCCGGGCGGGGCGACAGGCACCGGGCCCCCGGGCGGGGACGCACCGGGCCCCCACCGGGCACCGGCCCCCCGGGCGGGGCGACAGGCACCGGGCCCCCGGGCGGGGCGACAGGCATCGTGCCCCCGGGCGGGGCGACAGGCATCGGGCCCCCAGGGGGGCCGGGCGACAGGCATCGGCCCCCAGGCGGAGCGACAGGTCGGGCCCCCGGGCGGGGGGCCCTCAGGGGGCAGGCACCGGGCCCCCGGCGGGCGCCGGATCGTGCCCCCAGGCGGAGCGACAGGTCTCGGGCCCCCCAGGCGGAGCGGCGGGCGCCGGACCCCCAGGCGGAGCGACAGGTCTCGGGCCCTCAGGCGGAGCGGCGGGCGCCGGACCCCCAGGAGGAGCGACAGGTCTCGGGCCCTCAGGCGGAGCGGCGGGCGCCGGACCCCCAGGAGGAGCGACAGGTCTCGGGCCCTCAGGCGGAGCGGCGGGCGCCGGACCCCCAGGTGGAGGAGCGACAGGTCTCGGGCCCTCAGGCGGAGCGGCGGGCGCCGGACCCCCAGGAGGAGCGACAGGTCTCGGGACCCCCATCGGAGGCGTCTCGGGAGCGGAGCGGCGGGCGCCGGACCCCCAGGAGGAGCGACAGGTCTCGGGCCCTCAGGCGGAGCGGCGGGCGCCGGACCCCCAGATGGAGCGACAGGTCTCGGGCCCTCAGGCGGAGCGGCGGGCGCCGGACCCCCAGGTGGAGCGACAGGTCTCGGGCCCTCAGGCGGAGCGGCGGGCGCCGGACCCCCAGGTGGAGCGACAGGTCTCGGGCCCTCAGGCGGGGCGGCGGGCGCCGGATCCCCAGGCGGAGCGGCGGGCGCTGGACCCCCAAGCGGAGCAACAGGTCTCGGGCCCCCAGGCGGAGCGGCGGGCACCGAGTCACCAGGCACGACAGTGGGCTCCGAGTCAACTGGTATGACCGCGGGCACTGGGTCAGACATTGGATCGTCTGACCGGACAGCGGGCATCGGGTCACCAGGCATCAGGTCATTTGGCTCGACCGCGGGCACCGCGTCATCTGGCAAGGCAGTGGGCTCCGAGTCAACTGGTATGACCGCAGGCACTGGGTCAGACATTGTATGGTCTGGCTGGACAGTAGGCATCGGGTCACCAGGCATCAGGTCATTTGGCTCGACAGCGGGCACCGCGTCATCTGGCAAGGCAGTGGGCTTCAAGTCAACTGGTATGACCGCGGGCACTGGGTCAGACATTGGATCGTCTGACTGGACAGCGGGCACTGGGTCACCAGGCATCAGGTCATTTGGCTCGACAGCGGGCACCGCGTCATCCGGCAAGGCAGTGGGCTCCGAGTCAACTGGTATGACCGCGGGCACTGGGTCAGACATTGGATCGTCTGACTGGACAGCGGGCACTGGGTCACCAGGCATCAGGTCATTTGGCTCGACAGCGGGCACCGCGTCATCTGGCAAGGCAGTGGGCACCGGGTCACCAGGCATTGGATCTTCTGGCTCGACAGCGGGCATCGGGTCACCAGGTATGACAGCGGGCACTGGGTCACCAGGCATCAGGTCATTTTGGCTTGCCAGCGGGCACCGCGTCATCTGGCAAGGCAGTGGGCACCGGGTCACCAGGTATGACAGCGGGCTCTGAGTCAATTGGCACGACAGCGGGCACTGTATCAGGTACCGGATCATCTGGATCAACAGCGGGCATCGAGTCAACTGGCCTAATAGGATCGTCGGGCTGGATCAGTTCATCATGCTGAGTAGCGGCATCAGGCTGAATGCAGGCATCAGGCTGAGGAGAGGCTTCAGGCTGAGGAGAGGCTTCAGGCTGAGGAGAGGCTTCAGGCTGAGGAGAGGCTTCAGGCTGAGGAGAGGCTTCAGGCTGAGGAGAGGCTTCAGGCTGAAGAGAGGCATCCGGCTGAAGAGAGGCATCCGGCTGAAGAGAGGCATCAGGCCGAGTAGAGGCTTCAGGCTGAGTAGAGGCTTCAGGCCGAGTCACGGAAGGCAGGCTCACGGTTTGGATACTGGCAGGATGGTATTGGTTGGAAAGAATTTTCGCTTTTTTCTGGTTTTAACTACTGGAGCACTGCAAGTAAACGCAGGTCTGCAAACGAATGGAGCAGCTGGAGACAGAGAAAAACTGGAGGATGGAACAGGAGAGGGAGCAGTTGCTACAGAGGGCTCTTTTACAGGGTTAAAGGCAGGATAGGTGCAGCGAGTGGGAACAGGGTACTGACATGCGGTAGATAGCAGGGCAGGAGGAGCTGGTGGGAATACAGGAGTAGAGTTAGAAGCAGGACTGGGTCTTTGTAAGCTGACTGAGGCTGGGTGCAACAAATCTGTCCATGTCTGCAGTAGGGGTTGAACAAAGCTGAGCTTACACAAAGTCTGTCTGGTCAATGACTGCACTGCGTTGATACAATCTCTTAGTGTCTGTGGTGAACATGTGGAGTAACGCTCCAAAAGGAAACCCACATCATCCTCTAATAACCACACCAGGGACTCTACCTGGTCTGCACTAAATGGTGGCAAAAATTCATCCCTGCATTCGGGGGAACCAGATGAAACCAACTCAGCACAAACCTCAATCAATGGCTGCACCTCAGAGAACACTGTGCCCTGATCTACTAGAACATGAGCGAGCCGTATACATTCTAGCAATTCATCCCGGGTATACTCCTTCAGAGTTTGATAAGCATACTCCCTGTCATCAAACACTAGCAGATATAAATACTCAACCTCATCAAGATCCATCCTTCCCATCAACAAGCCAAGATGGCTTCCCTGTGCAGCCACTTCTGGTCAGGATTGGCCTTGGTGTAATGTCAGGGCTCCCAGGTATGACCAGAGATGTGTGACTGATGCAGGGAAACGCAGACTTCAGAAATGTGATAAACAATATAATTTATTAACACTAACCATACAAACATAAACGCAGTGCAATACTAAACATAATACAGTGCAAACAAACCAAACCAACCACCCACAGATAACAGTACATACAAGCAAGCGTCGTCAGGCAGGCCGGGTCAATATCAATTGGGCAGGTAGGTACGGGGGAGCAAGCAGAGAATGGTCGGGGTCACAGGCCAGGTTCAGCAGGTAGCAAGCAGCGAGGTACAGAGGGTCAGACAGAGGGGTGGTCAGGGTCACAAGCCAGGATCAGAGCAGGAGAAGTCAGCAGCAGTTCAGATCAGGGTCAGCAAAGGAACAGAAACAGGATGCAGGACAGATACAGGGCCCAGGACAAACACAACACCAAGGCAGAGTCTGCAAGTCTGGCCATCCCTTAAATACCCCAGTATCATCAGTTCCAGGTGTTAGCTGGCTGAAAGGTTGAGTCTCTGATTGCTGGGAGCACCCGCTGGCCAGCCCTGGTACTGCAGATCAAAAGGCAGGTGAGTCCCACCATTGCTGGCCAGTCCATTCCTAACAGGTGGCTCTTGATTCACTGACTCCAGTCTCAGACCACTTCTTGTGAAAGTCCCCAACACTTTTGAATGGCCTTTTCCTGACAATCCTCTCCAGGCTGTGGTCATCCCTGCTGCTTGTGCACCTTTTTCTTCTACACGTTTCCCTTACACATAACTTTCTATTAATGTGCTTTGATACAGCACTTTGGGAACATCCAAATGTCAATGATGGTTTTCTGCACAACTGTCAGGTTAGCAGTCTTTCCCATGATTGTGATTCCTACTGAACCAGACTGAGAGACCATTTAAAGGCTCAGGAACCCTTTGCAGATGTTATGGCTTAATTAGCTGATTAGAGTGGGACACTTTGAGCCTAGAATATTGCACCTTTTCTCAATATTCTAATTTTCTGAGATTGTGGATTTGGTGATTTCGTGAGCTGTAAGCCATAATCATCACAATTATGACAAATCACGGCTTGAACTATCTTGCTTTGCATGTAATGAGTCTATCTCATATATTAGTTTCACCTTTTAAGTTGCATTACTGAAATAAATTAACTTTTGCACGATATTCTAAATTTTTGAGTTTCACCTGTATTTTTATTTTTAAGATTTGTATGCATTATATAGCATCTCACTGATACTGTATAATTTTTCCATTATTTAGTCTAGCTGTGACTTGCTGTCCCTCTAGCCTTTGATGCAGCAGCTTAGTTTTACACACCTATTGTTGTTCCCCTCCCACATGATCCAGTCCTGCTTATAAGCTGGTCTTTTCTTTCTGTTTAGATTCCTCGACAAAGGGGGTGAGGCAACTGAAAGGCGTTGTGCCCCGCTCACACCCACCTATTCCTGACATCATCTTAGCAGGTTGACAGCTCTGTTGGCCATGGACACTGTGACTCCCTCCTGCCTAGCAGGTTTGTTAGGCGCTCTGCTCCTATTGATGCTGCATCCCCAGCTGCTTGTTGGATGACTCAACATTGTTCTGCTCTGCCTCATGCTAGTTACAGAAAGTTTTACATGTAAGTGTGTTGGTTTTCAATAAAGCCCCATTCACATGATGACGTTTTGAGTTGTGGGCAAAATTGCTGTGATTTTGCCAGCGATTTCAAGACGCTTTGCTAAAATAACATCGCACAACAGCGTGTTCTGCAATTTGGTATTTTAGCAAAAGTTTTGAAATCACTGGCAGAGTAGCGGCAATCCTGCCTGTGAGTCAACACTGCAAAGTGTGAATGGGGCCTAAAGGTGTTGTTTCCTGCTATTAATCCCAGTGTCCTGTTTCTATTCCTGTTTCTTTCTCTGAAGAAGACTTTCAATACTTGGAAGTTAAATCTCTTTTCCTCCAGATGTAAAGAGTGCTCCCTTGTCCCTTATGTTGACCTGAAAGTGAATAACTCTACACCAAGTTCACTATATGGACCACCTATGTGTTTATGCATGTTGATAATATTCCCCCCTAATCTTCTCTTCTCAAGAGAGAATAAATTCAGTTCCTCTAATCTTTCCTCATAGCTGAGCTCCTCAGTGCCTCTTATCAGTTTGGTTGCCCTTTTTTGCACTTTCTCCAGTTCCCCAGTATCTTTCTTTTGCTCAAAATTGAACTGCATATTCTAAATGAAGTATTACTAATAATTTGTACAGGGGTAAAATGATATCTCTCTCTCCGGAGACTATACCTGTTTTAACAGTAAAACCCCCCATATCTGAAGAAAATGGACCGCTTCAATTCCACCCAGGTTCCATAATAGGAATTTGCAACATTATTTTGGAATATACAGTCATGGCCGAAATTGTTGGCACCCTTGATATTTTTCCTGAAAATCAAGTATTTCACACAAAAAAGGTATTGCATTAACACATGTTTTGCTATACACATGTTTATTCCCTTTGTATGTATTGGAACAAATATAAAAAACAGAGGCAGAAAAGCAAATATGACATAATGTCACACAAAACCCCAAAAATGGGCTGGACAAAAGTATTGGCACCCTTAACTTAATATTTGGTTGCACACCCTTTGGAAAACATAACTGAAATCAGTCGCTTCCTATAACCATCAATAAGCTTCTGACACCTCTCACCCGGAATTTTGGACCACTCTTCCTTTGCAAACAGCTCCAGGTCTCTCTTATTGGAAGGACACCTTTTCCCAACAGCAATTTTAAGATCTCTCCACAGGTGTTCAATGGGATTTAGATCTGGGCTCATTGCTGGCCACTTCAGAACTCTCCAGCGCTTCTTTGCCATCCATTTCTGAGTGCTTTTTGACGTATGTTTGGGGTCATTGTCCTGCTGGAAGACCCAGGATCTTGGACGCAAACCCAGCTTTCTGACACTGGGCCCTACAGTGCGACCCCCAAAATCCTTTGGTAATCCTCAGATTTCATGATGCCTTGCACACAGTCAAGGCACCCAGTGCCAGAGGCAGCAAAACAACCCCAAAACATCATTGAACCTCCCCAAAACCATATTTTACCGTAGGTACTGTGTTTTGTTCTTTGTAGGCCTCATTCCGTTTTCGGTATAAACAGTAGAATGATGTGCTTTACCGAAAAGCTCTATCTTGGTCTCATCTGTCCACAAGACGTTTTCCCAGAAGGCTTTTGGCTTACTCAAGTACATTTTGGCAAACTGTAGTCTTGCTTTTTTATGTCTCTGTGTCAGCAGTGGGGTCCTCCTGGGTCTCCTGCCATAGCGTTTCATTTCATTTAAATGTCGACGGATAGTTCGCGCTGACACTGATGCTCCCTGAGCCTGCAGGACAGCTTGAATGTCTTTGGAACATGTTTGGGGCTGCTTATCCACCATCCGGACTATTCTGCGTTGCAATCTTTCATCAATTTTCCTCATCCGTCCACGACCAGGGAGATTAGCTACAGTGCCATGGGTTGCAAACTTCTTGATAATGTTGCGCACTGTGGACAAAGGCAAATCTAGTTCTCTGGAGATGGACTTGTAACCTTGAGATTGTTGATATTTTGCCACAATTTTGGTTCTCAGGTCCTCAGACAGTTCTCGTCTCCTCTTTCTGTTGTCCATGCTTAGTGTGGCACAGACAGACACACAATGCAAAGGTTAAGTGAACGTCTCTCCTTTTTATCTGCTTTCAGGTGTGATTTCTATATTGCCCACACCTGTTACTTGCCCCAGGTGAGTTTACAGGAGCATCACATGCTTGTAACATTCTTATTTATCCGCAGTTGTGAAAGGGTGCCAATACTTTTGTCCAGCCCATTTTTGGAGGTTTGTGTGACATTATGTCGAATTTGCTTTCTTTCCTCCCTTTTTTTGTTTTGTCCC